GTCTTGTCAGAGGTCTTCCCTCGGGAGGACTTGGGGGAGATGCATGTGGAGATTCCCTCCACCTGGAGACGGGGGAAGGGGGTACCTGGAATTGTATCTCGGTTCGTGAGGCCCGCGCTCGGGATGCCTGGGTAACCCAGAGATCATCGACGCCGTACTCAGCACTGCTTTCGAGCGCACTTGCACGTTCCCTCCCTGGGCAGGTGACAGAGCTCACCTGTTCAGGCTTCCCAGACTCCCAGAGTTCAAGCTGGTTGGCCCCAGCAGCCCCCAGTTTACAAGTGAGACAGACCCCAGAGAGGGGAAATGAGCTTCGTAAGATCGCACGGCTGGTGAATCGTGAGGCTTCCGGCCGAGTCTCCCTCCTCATTTCCCCCTCATCTGGGAGGGGGCTCTGATCCATCGCCTCCCTTAGGTCCCCTGGAGATGGGTCTTACTGCTCTCCCCAGCCTGCGGGCTCCGTTAGCAGGTTCATTTTCTTCCCCAGGGTGCACTACAGACTTCCAGATGTTGGTCTGCGGGTTTCAGCAGGGGGCGAGCCCTCTGTCTTTCCATCCATAAGCCACTCTTCCCACTGGTGTTCGGCTATCCACCATCCTCATGTCCACGTTACTGCTGAATCTGGATTTCGGCGAACCTCCCCCCAAAAAGACGTTAGAGGGGAATGCCAAACACCGAAGATTTGTCAAAAAGCGGAGGCTCTTGGAACGGAGAGGTTTTCTGAATAAGAAGAACCAGCCCCTTAGCAAGGCGCCTAAGCTGCACTCAGAACCTCCAAAGAAAGGGGAGGCTCCTCGGGCAGATGGCACTTGTAAGGTCCCTCCCCTTCCAAAGAAGAAGGCCACCGCCTCCAGCAGTGGGTCAGAGCAGTCCCTGGACAAGAAGACTGCCGTGCCTTGGCTGACCCCGGCCCCGTCCCAGAAAGATGGTTCTTCTGTGGCTAAAGTAGATTTGCTGGGGGAGTTCCAGAGCGCCCTTCCAAAGATTAAGAGCCACCCAGCACGCCCCCAGAAGAATGCCCCGCAGAACTCCACCCAGGCTCCTTCGGAGAATACATGCTCCGGAGCCTCCCAGACAGTGCCAAAGAAGATGGTGGCGATTGACTGTGAGATGGTGGGCACAGGACCCAAGGGCCATGTTAGCTCTCTGGCTCGATGCAGCATCGTCAACTACAACGGAGACGTGCTCTACGATGAGTACATCCTGCCCCCCTGCCACATCGTGGACTACCGCACCAGGTGGAGTGGCATCCGGAAGCAGCACATGGTGAATGCTACACCCTTCAAGATTGCGCGGAGCCAGGTGAGGTGCAGGGGGCGCGATGGCAGCAGCGAGGTGGGTGGGGAAGGAGGGCGCCAGAGGACTGCGGATGGAGGGAAGGAGGAAGTGGAACGTCGCTGACGAAGAAGGCTTCCTGTTGACGTAAGGCGTGGTGAAAGTTCACAGTTCCAGTTAGCCGGTGTAACGGACTCATTAGCTAGGGCTTGCTTTAGGTCCCGAGCAGAATCCTGGTCTGCGGAACTGGGGACGTCCACCGAGAAATGACAGCCAGTGCGGGGCAGAGCACAGGCATGAGTGCCAGGGCCAGAGGGTTCAGTTTGGGGATGCCTTGTACAGTTGGAGCCAAGGGCAGTGGGGAAGGCTTCCTAAGCAAGGAGGAGCCTGTGACGGGTTGGACGGGTGGGGGAGGGCAGCACGTTGGCAGGCAGAGCCGGGGCCTTGTGCGCACACTGAGACAGCCGGGGCCTTGTGCGCACACTGAGACAGGCAGCGTGCGGTGAGGGGTGAGAGACGCGGGGTTGGCACGCCCGGCTTCTCGTTGCACCCGGTTGAGCACACCTCCTCACTGCAGCCTTGCGCTGGATGCTGGGAGCACAACAAACGAGCCGCACAGAAAGCGGGGCGAGCCGCAGCGGTTTAGGGAGGAAGTGGTGGGGAGCCTGCTGGTCTCGGAAGGCCTCCAGAGGGCGCCCTCGGTCTACTTTGTCTCTTCAGCTCCGCTTTCCTTGCCTTTTCCAGACACTGTTCCAATAATTCCTATTATGCGAGAACAGTCAGTCGGAGTAGGTTCGTCAGGGGTGAAATGGTTGGGTTTTAGCAAGAACTCGGACGCAAGAGCAGAGGAACAGCAAAGGCTTGGGAGGGGCCGGAGGGGGCGGGTCTGAGGCAGCCAGCCGCCCCGCGCGGATGGGCCTCGGCGGTGCTGGACAGCAGGCTGCGGGTGAAGTCAGGAGCAGCGGCATGCCTGGCTGCCTGGGCTGCGTCTGCTTAGCAGAAAGCACTTTGCAGCGTCCACCCTGGGGTGCGAGGCCGAGGTGCGCCCAGATGCGTCCGGCCACGTGCTGGCCGTGCCGGCGCCGTTGCTCCCGCCCGCAGTCCGCCCGGAGCCCTGTTCCGGGAATGGCCGTCAGAGTCCACAGCGTAGTCCTTGCTTGTCCTCACTGGTGACATGTCCGCAGACTTGAGGGTCCTGAGGCGGTGAGCAGTTACTTGATTCCAAGTCACTGTGGATAAGGTTCCGGAGCAGCTGGGGGACACCCCTGGTGCGGCAGGGGGCGGTGGGACCAGCGTCCTGTCGGAGCCGCACACGCATGGCCACCTGGTCCCTTCCCTCTGCGGCCTTAGTCTGCAAGTGATTCTTCATCTTTTAGGAGTTGTAAACGTTTTGAGAGTCTGATGAAAGCCATAGATCCTCTGCCCTCAAAAACCATATCTGTCCATGTATGACTTGGGGCCTCTGTCACCTCCCAGGAGCCCTGTTTGACTGCGTCTGTCCCAGGCTTGTGCCTAAGGCCAGCATAACAATGATGGTTAAAGGGCTTCAGGTAGCGAGGCAGAACC